CCTGGTCACCCGATTCAGTTAGTCGCCTCTTACGATAAGTAATGGCTGCTGAAGACCAATTCCAACCCGGATCTTCACGGGGGTCCGCAACGAGTAAAGTGTGAATTAATTAATCAATCTAAAAATCCAAATGAAATCGTGTAAAAATGTTTTATGAGTGAGAGGGTTGGGGCTAATTTCAACATAATTCTTTGATATCACAGTTGAGAAACCAACTGAGCAACCTGACCTTCGGCATGACGGATAAACAGTTTGGTCATTTTGCAACCACATCGCCAAGAATAAGATCATTATATTATGCTCTTTCCTGGAATCGAACCCGGGTCTTCAGTGAAATGAACGTACTCTTTGCCCACTTGGCTACCATACATTGCCATGATGCTATAATAGATTTGATCGAGATGAAGAATTGTGTATCGATGTGTGAGTGTATGAGTTGTGTTTAACTCCGCTTTAAAAGGTAATTTCAGTGACATATGTCAGCCTGAGGTATCCAGGTATTAGACGTTAACCACACTGGTAAAATCTGTGTTCAAGATTATGATGCGGACAATCCAAAAATCATGATCGCGGCGAATAAACGATCAGCGGATCTTGACACGCCTAAGGGGGGCAACTCTGTAGACTATCTTTCTTGAACACCTGTAACCCCTTAGTATGTTTCGAAGTAACCATAATAACCACAGACAAGTAGAGAGGGCGACATGCCTGAGAAGGAGATTCAAGCTACAAGTATGAACGTATGTTTTAAAAAAACGGTAAAAAGTGGTACTCGATTCTTTTGGCTTCGTTCCATGTCATGGGCGCTCTAAGACTTGTTTTTTCTACACTTTAACGTAGATTTGGTTAGCATGGGGCTTGTGGTGTGGTTCTTGTGGAGATTGAAAACAGAAATATATTATAATTTGATGCGTGCAATGAGTCTGCTCATCAACCCTGAAGCATTCGAGATGTTTTTGAAATCGGCATCGTTGAAGCAAAACAGACGTTCATCTGCGAACAACGTGTTGACTTATTGCAGGTAATTTATGACAAAATAAGCCGTAAATACATTACCCCATTTTCTATAATTACAAATGAAGTGAGTCGTGTGGGTAACCTTCAGTGTTAAACCATCCAGTGTTCATTGAGAAATGTTTAAGATCTAGTTTCAGGAGAATGTTGTTATACTTATGTGCTATTAGACAACAGTATACACTTATTACTGACACCCTAATCCATTGGTGGTACTTATTTAGTAAAGAAAATAAAAATAAAACATTTGGGTTTTTTTAAGTAAAGAAAATTACTTTGTGCGAGAAATATTTGTAAGGCAGTTTGTGATGTATGATTTATCATCGCCGCGTTGTAGCAAACCGTGTTATTACTAACATGATCTGGTTTTTCTACAGGGTGTATTTTAACGGCTAATTTACCTTGTGGTGGTGTTACAGGTGTGTACTGGGCGGGATGCTCGTTTGGGGATATTTAGGAGCAAGTATCAGTCACATATTGAGTGTACCAAAACAGCGAGGGTTGGCATTGCTTCTGTCTGTGCTATTTATTTCTGCATAGAGGATTTCTATTGTCATCATTATCGACGTCGTTATCATCATCATCATCATCATCATCCCCTTCTTCATCCTCCTCCTCCTCATCATCAGTATCGTCATCATCATCATCATCTTCGTTACTATCATAGCCATCATCATCATCACTATCGCTATCACCCTCATCCCATCGATCACAATTACTATCATCATCCCAATCGTCGCCACTATCATCACTATCGTCATCTTCATCATCAACACCACCACCACATCTTTATTATCATCACCATACCTATCATCAACGTCCTCTTAATAATCTTCATCTCCACCATCGTCATCACAATCGTCATCTTCATCACCAGCAACACATTTTTACTATCATCATTATCAACTAACATCAATGTCCTCTTAAAAACTTTCATGGCCCCCTGCCATCATCATCATCATCTTCATCATCATCATCTATTACTGTCTTCCTCCCCTCGCCTGCTTGCACCCCCTTCTCCATTCACTCACTCACTCAGTGTTGCGCGTGATAGATAGTTTTAGTTTTAGGTGTCGAGAGAAAAATCAAACCCCCAACTCATTACCGCCTCGGCCGGAAATACTTCAAACCTAGTAACAGTCATAGATTATTAGGTGGGATGGCAATCACTAGCACGCATGTCTTACTTCCAAAACACGATGCCACATATTGTGGTAGGAGTTCGCCAACGATGCGCCCTGTGAGATCTCCAGCTCAGTGTCGCAATTTACCTTACCCGTATGACTGATTACCGTCTTACATGACAGTAGTCTGGATTCCTGAGTAGGCTGCGCTTGCGCTACAGTGTGGCTACAGGAAACCAGCCTGACATGACAGCTCCACAAAACAACTGCGTTAGCCCGGCTTTCGTTTCTTTAAAACTCGTGTGTTCATACTTTCGTTAGTACGTACTCTCATTTATCAGAACACACGTTAATTCGTCCACTTGCGTATTCTCGTTAGTCTGCACCCTCGTTATCCCGAATACTTACGTTCATGAATGAATTATGTATTTTGAAAAATGTTTCGTACGTTTGGTGTAACATTTGACCTGGTTGTTTTTTAGTAAACATTCTGCAATAACGAATTCACTTGTTGAGACACATGTGACAGGAAGAACACCTTGAGCTACGGCTAGTGGGCTTGCTCTCTTTGATGAATGTCCAGCAGATGAGCGGCACAGAGGTTTTAGGTCCATTTTGTTGATCATAGGGCGAACATAATTCAAAAATGCACCGTAAATCATTAAAGCATCAAACAAGCCGGCAAACAATCCTGATAAAGTATCATGTCACATTTAAGAATCATATTTCAAATACTCATGAAGTGGCAAAAACAAACAATGCATGCCATACATGAGTGCCAACATACTATGTACGAGCAATATGTGGGTGATTAATAAGTGGGTGATTACAAGTAATGCGTGTGATAAAATACTACTAGTAATACATGGGTGATAAAATACTACTAGTAATACGTGTGAAAAAATACTTCTAGTAATACATGGGTGATAAAATACTACTAGTAATACGTGTGATAAAATACTTCTAGCAATACATGGGTGATAAAATACTACTAGTAATACGTGTGATAAAATACTTCTAGCAATACATGGGTGATTAAATACTACTAGTAATACGTGTGATAAAATACTACTAGTAATACGTGTGATAAAATACTACTAGTAATACGTGTGATAAAATACTTCTAGTAATACATGAGTGATAAGATACTACTAATAATACGTGTGTGATAAAATACTACTACTCGTAATACATGAGTGATAAAATACTACTAGTAATACATGGGTGATAAACTACTTCTAGTAATACATGAGTGATACAATACTACTAGTAATACATGAGTGATAAAATACTACTTGTAATACATGAGTGATAAAATACTACCAGTATTACGTGTGTGATAAAATACTACTACTCGTCATACATGAGTGATAAAATACTCCAAGTAAAACGTGGGTGATAAAATTCTACAACTCGTAATACGTTGTCGTGGTACATATACTAATAGTGTAAAACATGAATGATAAAATACTACTATCAGTAATAAATGGGTGATAAAATTCTATATTTCTAGTAATACGTTGTGAGTGGTACAGTATGTTGCAGGCGAGTGGAATTCGGTTTGATGTCCTTTGTGTGGCCGTGTAACAATACTAAGACTTGCAATACGCCATGGGATGTGAACATACTACTACCAGTAATACGTCAATAGAGTAAATAAAATATTTGCATTACATGAATCAATGACACTGCTAGTAATACGCCAAAAAGGTGACAAAACTATTTTTTGTAATGGGTAATGATGATGATGGTGATGATGATGATGATGATGATGATGATGATGATCTGTTGTATCTGTCAATGTCTCCCAGTCATCAGTACACATGCAATGTACACTACACATCTTTAATGACCCGGAATGCATATGAGCACATGCCCTTTCAGTCAAACCCTCATAAGAGAGGTAATTAGATCGTTCTCAGGGAATCAGATTAAATTCCATGTTGAAATGTCACGATAAATATCTTAAGACGTTTTACGATAAATATGACACATGTCCATTTATAGGTCGTAGATTTTCTGATGGGAATATCATGTCTTGAAACTAATCTGACATCAGACAAATATGTCCAACCCTAGGATTAAGTATATTCTTACATCACTATCTTTATCATATTCAGTCAGTGTGGCACAAGATACAGCTCAGATACCACGTGGGGCGTAATGGTCAACCAGAGTGTTGGCATCATGGCGCGGGATACAGTGTTGTAGAGGGAGAGGGAAAGGACCGGTCGATAATGTATTATATGGTCGCTAGTAAGTGCGACACGGTCTCCCAGTAAACACACACCTTGTCTCATGTGATGAAGTAGATGTCTCGGGGGAGGGGTGGGGTGTGTGTGTGTGTGTGTGTGTGTGTGTGGGGGGGGGGGGGGGGGGGGGGATTAACGGCCAATCGTTTGCTATTCAGGGTGGGGGCCTGGGAGTATTTTTCTAAAACATAACGTGTTACTTTAAATGATGCCTTTTTTACAAATTTGTTCTCAGGTTTTATATACACACAAATTGTTTGTGTTTTTTTTGTCGTGAAAAACGTTTTCGGCTCATAAAAATATATGACATAAAAATATTAATTTGTTCCAGAAAATGTCCCTTTCCTCAGAATATTAAAATCCTAATTTCTGGTCCTTAATATTCTTAGGAGAGAACTAGAGTGGCGAGTTGAAGTTTAAACGCCGCTTTGAACAATTCTCCCAATCGAACGGCGTGTCAACTAAATGTAGATACAGAGACCATATACCATCGGTGTATGGTCTCTGGTAGATATCAATCCAAATATGACGCAGGTCGTGTACCTGCCACTTTTTAAAAAACAAAACAAAAGATGATTATAGTGCAGTCTCAGACAGTAATGTTACTCACCATTTCCATTCCTTGCCCTTCTTCTTACAGAGGGTGACGATGGTCTCAATCAGCAGACCAGCCAGAGCCCCAGACAGGTACCAGCACCATATCTGCCCCTTCACCATGTACAGTCTCCAGATGGCGATGAAACCATGGGTGGCGAACAGCAGCCGTACCAGCAGGGCGCGGACAATGGTCAAGAGACGCATCGCTGGTCAGATGATGGTATCCTTGTCCTAAACAATGATTGATTGAAATCCGGTCCTTAATCCTCTTCAGCTTCAATCCCGTGACGTTTTCCAAAATAATGATTTACTGGAATGAACTCTAATTTCCGTCCTGGGTAAAATGATGACCTGGTAACTTTCTTCCAACAATTGCTGAACTCCCTCTCCAATTACGGTTTATGACATACCCTTCCAGTTGTTTAAATACGGTGGCGTGTTTTAAGGAGTTGACACTATGATCCAGATGAAATTGGTCCTATGAAATCGAATAGTTGGACAGAATAGTTACACGCACGTGATGTCTCTACGTCCACGGTTGGTCAGTAATGGACCACGATGACCCTTTCTTCAGCAGTATTACCTGTTGAGCTCATCTTTCCTACTATTGCATAAACACTGCTTGTAAAATGCGAGTGTGCCTCAAGATCGTTGAGTTGTACAGCCTAACACATCAACTGCTGCATCTCAACGATGGCTGTATTCAATACCAATAGGTCACAGTCCAGGATCAAGCCTGCATCCTAACTTAGAGATCCTTGTCATCGAAGGCCAATTACGTGAAATGACGTTCACCTCTTCGCAGTAAGATCCCCTACATCCAAAGTCTTTAAAGTCGCGGTGTTTGATAAACAATGAAATGGCTTTTTTTATATACAGGTACACCCTAAAGGCTCAAATGGGCGTTTATTATGATGTCACAAACACACGTGTGTCGCGTGAAAGACGTCAACTGGTCTCATCCGTAGACCACACCTTGAACTTGGCCTTATGGATCTGCAGAACCTCCAATAACAGTTTACAAATACACGTTCGTGTAGATATTATCTATGACATATTGCTTCTCACGATTTCATCACGTTGTGTTGCGCCATGTTGTCGATGTCCCGTGCACGTGTCGCCACCGTTGTGTTCCGTCACAAAGTGGCACGTTCCTTCATCAGAGTCTAGCGTCTAGCGTCCAGCGTCCAGACTGCCGGGCCTACCATTTCCTGAAGATATTGAAGCGAAAAGTAGGGTTAGCCATGAAACAACAAATAATGAAGTCACTTATGAAACTAATGAAACACACGTACTAAATAATGCACCAACGTTCAAGAACGCACTTTAAAGTGGCAGTTGGGAGACGTTTTGTATAATAAATCGACGTTTGCAGTTTTGTTTTCCCTTTTCTGTTTAAGGTAATTTGAAATCGATATGAATACACCATTGTACTTTATCTCCGCTCTGGAGTGGTCGATAGTCTTTCGACAACACAAACCCGTCTTGCATGGCCTAATTCACATGATACACAGATGTGCATTAATGTGGAGTGAGTGAGTGAGTAAGTGAGTTGGATTTAACGCCGTTTTGAACAGTATTTCAGTTATATCACGGCATGTCAACCTAATGCGCGAAGAAAGCCATAAGTGATGCAGATCTTAGACGTTTAATACTTCGGTGAAACCCACGAGCACGGGTGTGAAGCTGACAAACCCGTAAAAATAATCTGGGCGAACCGGGATTCAAAGTGTGTGGTACCTGGCACCATGAAATAGACCGGCTCTGCGGAAAGAGGTATGTTTTAAGGCCGTACATTCCTGCAGATCTCGAAAATCTAGAAATGGAAGTGAAATGGGGTTAAATGTCGCGTTCAAGGTTATATAGCGACACTGTGTGTGTGTGTGTGTGTGCGTGTGCGTGCGCGTATGCAAGTGAGCGTGAGCGTGCGCGTGTGCAAACGTGCGTGTTCGTGTATATCTGCTTGTACTAGTCCGGACTAATGCTGGTTTTACAGTGCTAACCCACTAAGATACCTCGCCACTGTTTAAGATGAATACCCCACTCAGTGTGTGAGTATGGTTTTACGCCGCTTTAAGCAATATTCCAGCAATATAACGGCGGATGACACCAGAAATGGTCTTCACACATTGTACCCATGTCGGGAATCGAACCCGGGTCTTCGGCGTGACGAGCGAACGCTTTAACCACTAGGCCACCCGACCGCCCCTAGATATGACAACCCAAGGATCATAATCAGTGTTTTGGGGTCCTTAAGGTTAAACTGTTTCGGCGACTGTTTTCTGCCTATAACGTTTGTAATTTTTGGGTCAAATCCAATTCTCTAATGTATACTTTCTTTTGCCCGCCTACGACCTTTCCACCCACATCTTGCTGGAACTCTTGTGATGTTACTGAAATAATGTGCACATGGACGCTGATTCCAACTCCCAAATACGGTACAGAAATGAGTGTCAACCAAGAGAATTGCCATATCAAATCGGCCCAGACTGCATCGAGCGACCACTGCATCGAGATCAGGTGAAGTGTGTTGAGAGGATCAGCAACCCTGCAGAGTCCTTCCGTTGGATGAAGTCAACTGGTCTGAAAAGTGAAACAGAAGGCTTTCTGTTTGCTGCTCAGGACCAGTAACTTCCCATTCGAAACCGTCGATGTTATTTTTGGATCAAAATGTAAATATGAAATGTAGGGTATGTAATGAATTTAATGAGACTGCCCAACACTTTGTCCTAGAGTGCCCAGCTTTGGCACAAACACAGTATCTTAAGCGACATGAGGAAGTGGCTCGATCATTTTATTACCGTCTTCGCCATGCTTGTGGTTTTGACACAGAGGTCCATCCATGGTACGACCCGGAATATGTAGAGGGCGTCATGGAAAATGATAAATACAAAATCCTTTGGAATAGGCCCATTTACAGCCTCAGACGTATCCAGGCTAACAAACCTGATCTTGTCCTTTTTGATAAATCCAATGAAGTCATTAATTTTTATATTATTGAATTTTCTGTCCCTTTTGACACTAATATGATTGACAAGATTCAGGAAAAACATGGCAAATATGCAGACGTCGCTTTCGAAAAGTAACCCTTGAATACAAGTACCAAGTTATCCGACTCCCCATTGTACTCGGTGCTCCTAATCTGTTGACTGACATTGGGAGAGTACCCGGGTTTGCAACCAGGAATACAGCCCTTCTGACAATCTAGGAAATGCAGAAGGCTGCAGGTTGGGGTGTCTTCACATTCTCTGAAAAGTTCTGGGTGGGTTTGACTTGGCATCGCTTCCTGGGAGAAGTTCCATTGGCTGTCTGGGCCCTGAACTGATTATGGGCCTAACCAGCCTGACTGCCAGGATCACCCAAACCCTCTTTGCTGCATTTTTTAAATCTGTCCGCGATTCGCTGTTCAGAGTTGCGTCCCTTGGCTACGCCAGAAACCTATGATTGGGGGTTCGAATCCCGGTTCGCCCCGATTATGTTTCTAGGTTTGTCAGCGCCATATCCGTGCTCGTGGGTTTCACCGAAGTGGTTAACGTCTCAGACATGCATCACTTCGGTCTTTCCTCCCACATTAAGCTGACACACCGTGATATAAGTCTAATAGCCCCGTTAAAGCCAACTCACTCACTCACTCAAACACGTTATGCCAAGACAGAGGTAGGATAAGGCCCATTTCAGGGTTCACAAGGGATTAAACGGTGTCGATTTTCTGCCGAAAGAGATTCCACTTGGCGTAAAAGTCAAACTACCAGTAAACATTATACGAACAGACCACTGAAAATCGGTGATGACACCAGGTGTTCGCGAAAGGGGTAAGAATATCCTGCTCTACCGATAGCTCCTGCCACTTCGACAGTTTGCATAAAATTGTAACTGTATGTTGCCTGACGCCGCACATCATCTGATAACTCGCATAAGGATGTGTAAAGGCTTGTTTTATTTGTTAAATCATCTCAGAAAATGTTTGTAAAACATCAGCATGTTACACTTGAAAAAAATGAAAGAACTTGTCTGCCATAAAAGATACATTGATACAAGGGGTGACTATTGGTCTGGAAATCCCTATTGCGATAACTATTGATATTGAAAGAAACTATCGCGATGACTATTGATATTGCAAGCAACTATTGCGATAAATATCGATAGTTTTCAGTGTATCATTTTAGATGAATTTTAGAGTTGGATTAAACCTTGGAACTGAAGTTTCCTTTGAATGTGACAACCATAACAACAAATAAAAAGTAAAGTTTGAGATATGACTGATTTGTTTTTTCTTTACTCTAATTTAAGAAAAAGAAACTTTCACATAACCATGTGTAAATTACTTCCGCTCATGATCAAAAGAAAAACAAATTTGTACAGCATTGCATGTATTTTATTGATATGGTAAATACAATCGATATCGATATTCCTAACTGAAATCGATACTATTGATCGGAAACTGATTAAACAATCGAAAGATTGACTTAAAGTGCTTACCAATAGCAATATGTCGATATTTCGATTTATCCTGACACCCCTAATTGATACGTTCTGCTTTTTATTACTATATTTTTTATTTAGGCGCATAGGTATAACAAAAACATATCTGGTTTTGCAGATGTAGCTGAACAAATGGTCGGTCCCTTAAATCATCCCGCGAAACAGTAACACTGAAATTAAAATCCAAAATTCGAGTGAAAAAATGAATATAAGTTCTCATAGTACACAAACACATGATAATATGACAAAAGTACGGAATTAAAATCCTCTACAATGGAAATTCTTCGAACATGAACACTCCGTCCGCAGCCAGTGAGTTTAATCACACGTCTGTCAGAAATAGAACATGTTATGCCTTCTGATGATCGAAGACAATAGTCTATTAATAACATATTCTCAAGCGCCGGTTGGGGCATGTCGGATCTGATTGATAGCATCATATCAATCAGATCACACCGATGGTTGGGATCCTATCTCGCTTGACGCGCCTGGCAAGGAACAAACCAGATTACCCGGCCCTTAGTTAGCCTACTGGCAAAGCGAATCATGTCGGCAAGACGATAGGTTCACTGTTTTAGAATCTATTAAACCTCTTTGCGTTGTGGATGAGAGACGCCATCATTGATGTTGTCATCACCACTTTTATCGAGGTTCTACTGTACATTGTAATAAAGACATCCAGAAAACCCTCGTTAACCCGGACTCTATTACTCCGGACTGTTACTAATGTAGTTAATAAGGGGGTCGTTAATTAGTCCTGAAATGTGTTAATCCGGACGATTTGACTGCAGATACTAGCTCGAAAACACCATTCGTCAACTTCATCAGTATTATTTTCGATATTAACGCCATCACCGTCGTCATCATTCTCATCATCATGAGCAGCGTTAAGGTCGCCGTCATGGTCATTGCCCGGTCACATCATCATCAGCGTCGTAGAAGGAACATCGCCGTGATGTTAATACCATCCCCACATCATGACCGCCCCCCCCCCCCCCCCTACTGACAGACGTTTAAAGAATGGACATTGTTATTACCCTGCCTTGTGTTCGGCACTAAGGGGCTAAAACGAGGACTGGTCGGCCCGAAGTCAGTATACTGTGACTAAGTGGGATATTCATGTTAAACTGTCTCATGGTATCTCAGTGAGCTAGCACTATAAATCGGCATCAGTCCGGACTAGTACAAGCAAACACACACACGTACATGCTCGTCACGATATAAGTGCAATAATCTTGGACGCGACGTTAAACCCCATTTCACCTCACCCACCACATCATGATTCTTTTCACCTTTGTCCATGTAAAAATTAAATGATTAAGTATGAATTATATATTATTTGCGGTGGATACAGGGGCTATATTGGTAACATCCCTTTCCGTATGAAATTACCTCCCCTTCGGCTGGTCGAATGATGCGTTAGTTCGAACCATCCGAACAAAGATGATCTGTAACATCTGAGCTAGCCTCAGCTGTACATCAACCATAGACTTCAGCTGTTGCTCCCAAAATAAGCATATCGTTGCAATAACATCAAATATCAGACTGCCATATGGTATTTAATATATTTCCCGAGAGACCTGGCTTTCAGATCGCATTAGGTCTCTTCTCCAAGCATCGATTGCCGTCTGAATGTTGATTGACTCACAGCGGCAGACATTGTTACCGCTGGTCGTCATTGGCTGCCTAACATAGTTTCGATGATGAATGAACACATGACGATCAATGC